ACCATGAAATGTCTGAATGTCTGTGTGAATTTACGCAGCTCATTTACGCACGTTTCCTGAAGATAGAAGTGTTTGTTGAATCTGACGTGACATGTTCGTACGAACCCTTTGTACGAACAAAAGTAAGAGAAATTTAGGATAAAAATACGAACATGTTCTTGCATGAGGCCCAATATGTTTTAATGAGAAGTAATGAAACGTCATCAGTGTTAACACTGACTCATAACCCTGGTATAGCCCTAGTTTATAGTCTATGAGAAGTTGTGTCTTGTTGCTGTTGTTGCGTGACAAAAATTGTGTACGTTTTTTCTCTCACCTGCCACTGAGACCCCGTCTCGTGCACTAACCTTAGACAGAAGTATTGTCTGACAGGGTCTGCGCTGAGTACTGGGTGAATGATCAGAACTTTGTGATTGTGTTTGTTCATTTTTCCACTGAGGCGCTGCTGGCCAAGTCTGTAAGAAAATACAGCAGTCTTTACAAATGCTCCAACAAAACTTACTGCAGGAAGATAATCCAAAAGCTTGTAGAAGGAGATTGTACAATACCTGAGACAGCTTGGAGACACARGCGGCTCTCTGCGGCTGTGGTGATCGGGATGGGGGTGCAACAAAGCAGGGCTGTTCAGGGACACATTCCTGCACTGTCTGTCACAAACATCGGCAGCCTCTTCTTGACAAATTTACAAACTAGCGCTTCTCCTCCAACTCCTCCATCATCAACTGAAAATGCACGTCCACTTTTCTGATGCACGGTGGGAAGACATACCAGGACTTGTACCTCATTTCTCTTTGTTCATGAGAGAAAGACCATCTCACATTCTCGTCAACGAGACCCGATGTCTTGCATCTTGTCAAATATAACCCGACATTTAGCTGATTTTGTTGCTCCTCTGTGTGTGTGTGTGTGTGTGTGTGTTTGTCTGAATACGTGCACGACGCTGAAGGCCTCGGTGGCCTATCTACGCATCCAGTCTGTGCAGACGTCCTATCAGAGGCCTCCTCTCAGCCCTTCTCCTCTGCAGTCCCACAATGCTCTGCTGCACCTCAATGTCTCTGAGCAGGACTACTGCGAGCTGGACCGCAACATTCTGCAGCTCTGCGGTAACACACACACACACACACACACAAACAAACAATTCCCAGCACACTTTTATGCATTCAACTCTCTCTTTTAGTCCCTCTCAAACACATACATTTTACATTTCTGTCAGCCTTTGTACACAAATGCAGACCTCATGCATAAGCTGCTGCGAGGTGAGGAGTGTTAATAAACGGAGCCCCTGTGGATGTAAAAGCTCCCTGAATTCAGAGGCAGAATGCTGCTGGCATAAGGCGTCTCCGACAGCAACACTTTGAAAACAGAAGGCTTTGCCAAAACACTATTAAAAATCTCATGCATAATGGTCTCTCTCGTGCTGCTCCTGCACACACACATCAACGTTGTTTACTTTCTGGTCAACAAATACGAGTTGCAGAGTTTTCCCTCTGCCTCACCTCCCTGCTGCACTGACCTGCTCCTTCTGCAGTCCAGGCAGCTTCCCATCCCTTATCTCTTCTCTGTTATCAGCCCCCCTGTTGACGAGCGGCTGTTCACCCCTCCCTGACCCCTCTGTCTGAGTGCATCCCTTCTCTGGATTGCTTTCTCTCCACTTGCTTACATGATCTGCATTCCCATTCTTCCTTAACGTCACTCTGCCCTTCCTCCTYCTCCGTGTGTTTTTCTTTCCTCCCTCCCTCCCATCACTTTCTCTTTGTTTCCTCTTTTAGGTGAGCTCTACGACCTTGATGCAGCTTCTCTCCAGCTCAAAGTCATCAATTATGTAAGTGGCTGAGATCACCATCACACACACAAACACACACTGCTGGCTCTATGCAAAACATCTCCACCAGTGGCTTCTTCCCCTCTTCCTGTCACAAGATTTTTATCACGGCTTTACTTCATCCATCTCCCCACAGAACGACACCCCTGCCCTTCAGAAATACAGTCAGATAGACTCCAGGGGGGGAAAATGGAGATAAGAGGTGGGGGTAAAGATTATACAGAAGCTGGGAGGGAGAAACAATAGCAGCAGAAGTCTGAGTAATGTATGGAATTATTCACAGATAGGGAAATATGGAAGAAAGGGGGCATAAAGTCAAAGAGGCAGGAGAGATTTAAAGGTTAAACATCATCAGGGGGAGAAAGAGTCGGCCCCTCAGAGAGTTGGGTTTCTGGAAAACAAAAATATTTGATCTGTGAAGGTCTCACAGATAAGAAAACTAAAAGTATTTAGTGTTGCTGTTGTTGATTTCACATTTTATCAATAAAACAAACTCTTTTATWTCAAATATTAAAACCTAAGTTTTAGAATAAAATAATATATCTGAAGCATTCCAACGAAAAGTTTGGAATGGTTTCTAGGTGTCCTGCTCCTAAACTCCTTTTATTTATATTTGTTCATGATTACAGGTAGAAAACTGTCTCATTTTTAATGTTCATGTGTTCATATCCAAACTTAAGGAAAGGTTTATTAATAACAGTAACACTGAAACAGAGGAATGTCTAGTCTTCACAATGATGGCAAACATTGTAAGAAGCGATTTCTCAGCACTACAGCAGAGCAACATGGTACATTTCAAAGGAAATTGAAAGGATTAGAATTAAATAGGATTATTTCAGAAGGCATACCTGTTGGAAATTTTAGATTTAAAGTAGATTAAGTTGATTTTATGCTATTTAACTTGCTGGGATTGCTAGATAGTGTCTTTATGAACTCATTTTTACAAAAAGAAACCTATATTTTCTTGTTTTTACCACTGCCGTTTCTGCTCATTTTGCTTGCACGGGTCACAGATCTTCATTTAAAGCAATTTTCTCCATGTGAAAGCAGAGTGTGAGCGAGGTTGAGATGGTGCAAAGAGCTGCATCATTTTCTTTTTTTTTTTAAAGATCTCAAATTAAACCTGATTTGTTTGGTCTGTTTATTGCTGTAAAGATGGGGTGAGGCGAGGGAGGAGGAGGAGGAGGAGGAGGAGGAGGAGCAGGGAATTGTTGTTCCTGAAGAATTATCAGTTTTGTGGGAAAAGCTTTGAGCAGTTCTTATGGGATTAACAGCATATGGAAAACAAGAAGGTGGAGGGGCTTATTGTTTGTGTATGCAGCAACATGTGTGCACAGATGTGTGTGTTCGTACCTGTGTGTGTGTGTGTGTGTGTGTGTGTTTTATTGTACTTGTTTATGTGACACAGGGGTGAGTGTGTTGGCAGTGGCTCTTGTTTATTCCTGTTCACTTGTTCTCCATCCAGATCTGTGGATTACAGGGAAGAATTGTGTGATGATCTGTAGTGTGTGTGTGTGTGTGTGTGTGTGTGTGTGTGTGTGTGTGTGTGTGTGTGTGTGTGTGTGNGTGTGTGTGTGTGTGTGTGTGTGTGTGTGTGTGTGTGTGTGTTCTCGTGTACAACATTTGTGTTATTGGTGCATAGAAGAATGTGTTTACTCCTCAGAGTGTTTCAGTCTATGAATGTGAATGAAGTGTTTCTCTGCACACAAAGCAGCACAGAAATGGTTGAACCTCTGCAGGTAGAGCAGCATCAGGTGGACTGAGAGAAAATGTTTGTCACTTAAGCTAGTTTTTCTGTTTTTACCAGGAGTTATTATGTTCTGAGGTGGGTAGAGTAACCAAAAATTGTACTCAAGTAAGAGTAAAAAAGTATTTGGTACAGAGTACCTCAAGACATCAGTAATTTAATATTTAAACATTACATCATCAAACAGACCAAAATATAAAGCTATGTGGAAATTTTGGTATTTTAAAGATCAAAATGAAAAAAAAGTCATAAAGATAACATAACAACAAATTCAGTTTAAATAAATATTTTTCCAAATCAGTTTCTTTCAATATAAAATTTATGAAACTAACAAAAACTTCAGGTGGTAAATTTTTAGTGAATGCAAGCTTGTTCTTCAATGAAGTTACTCACAGTGAGTATCCAGAAAGTTTACTCTAGTACTTCATAATAAAATTACTCAAGTAAAAGTAAAAATCACAGCATAGTAAAAGTACTCCTAAAAGTAATTTTTTTGTTTTTACAAAATGTTACTTGAGGAAATGTAACTAAGCAAATGTAACTAGTTACTACCCAACTTTGAATATGGTTAATATTGTAAAAAAATATTAACTCACAGCATAATTTTTTTGTTTATTACGTTTAATGTTGATAAAATAATGAAATGTAAGGAAAATTATCGCCATTTGCTGAAGGCACAAGGTAATACTGTTTTTACCTGTGTGAGTTTAAGTGTGTGTGTTCATTTGTCTTCTAAGTGTAGCAGAATATCCCATGAGCCAGCTAACAGATTTTAAACTCAAAGTAATCCGTCTACAATTCATTACCTTTCTTTAACCCCATTCAAGATGGCTGCCACCTCACAGTGACCTCAGCAAACCCCGTAATTGATTTTATACAGTTTTATGGAAACTAAGCTAAAATTTGGTGTTTTAGCTGAGAGTGATCTTCAGCTTACATCCAAAGTGATGGTGCAAGACTTGTTTCAACTACTGTTGAATTCAACTCTTTCTGTTAGTAAAATGTCTCATTAGTTAATGGTCACTACAAACTATTTCACTATCTATTCAAAATAGTCGTTGCAAACAGCTGACTTTAGGAAACACAAAAATGACTATAATTCAGACAACTTCACAGACACCGAGTTAAAGTTTGCTGTGGTAGTAGCTGAGCACCATTCCCAACATCTACTCTGAATGTGACACTTTGCACTATACTTAAGCTTAAAACTTTGCTTTTAACTTTTAGGGACTGTAAAGGTACATAGAAGTCCCACAGACTGCAGCAGATGTGTGAAAGCTAGCTGTTCCCGCTGCCGCAGTAGATCCAGTTTGTGGAATCTTGTTGGAGATCAACAAGAGCAATCCACTCAGACTAGCTCATTATTTTTACCTGAATTAAAGTCATTTTTCTAAACTGAAGTCACTCAAAGAGCTATCTACAGCAGGTAAGATATTAATGTTTCATAACATTCTGTTCACCCTTCCTAATTTTGCCTATAGGCCAAAATAAACAATTTCTTAAAGGACTGTGTTGTTTTTCATAATTATTTTTTGATAATATAAAGTGTTTATCTGTCTAAATTACACTTCAGTGATGCAGAAAGGCAGTGGAACTATTATCACACTCTCCCCTCCAGTTGAGCTCCAGTTATTTTCACTGTTGGCTGGTTTCTGATCTGGGCTGCCTGCGCTCCCTGGCTGCATCTCAACCAGACACTGATGGAGCAGTCTGACTGAATCTGATGAAGTAATACTTAATTATCATAAACTAAGGCTGCGGTGCTGTGTTTGTGTTCCTCTGCAGCTGCAGCAGCAGACCAAGTCACAGTGTTGTTGTTTGCTGCTGGTATCTGAGGACAACCACCAGCTATTTTGCCAGGTACACTTACACACACACACACACATACACACATACAGACAATCTTTTCTCTCCATCTTTAGTGCTCTCACACACTTTGTTCTTTTTTTTTCTTGCTTCTGAAACACCACACAGAAGCAACACACCACTTTTCTCACAGTGCTCCTTTTATTTCTTTTCTCCCCCTCAGACACACACACACGCACGCACACACACACAGTTCCCAAACTGCTGTAACAATAACACATACCAGAAAGTGTTGTTAACATTTTAAAAATGTGGGATTTCTTTGACCTCTGTGACATTTAGGTTGTTGGAGACAAAGTCCTGGAGGAGGAGATCAGCTTTCCGGTGAGTCTCATGAAAATTCATCATTTAAAGCAAAAAAAGGGAAAAAAAAAGGCTAACACTGAAAATACATCTCCATATCCTTATTTACAAGTTACTTATCTCATAAAACAAAACACTTGTTTTGTAGTGATTATGGTTTGTTATGTCCATGTTGAGAAATTCTGTATGAACAATGAGTGTTGATTTACTTAGATTAAATATATTAAACACTTCCTTTTTAACTCATTTGTTAAAGTTAAAACAAGCAGAACAGAAGCTGAACTCAGCAAAATGAAAACTAAAACAAAAAATGAGTAAAACAAATATAAAATTGGTAAAAACAGTATTTAGAAGCTAAATGTAGCTAAATTATTGCTAAAAGTTAAAATGAGCAAAACTGTAGCTAAAAGCTAATAATATAAGCGAGATAGTAGCTTAAAGCGAACAGAAGCATAAGATGTTTAAAGCAAGTCTGCTGAAGTGGATTTCAAGTAAAGCAATGTTTTTGTTGAAAATTTCAATGTATTTCTATGGGGGGAGAGAATTGTAAATAAGTGAAGTAGTTTAAAAAGTATAAAAGTTACAAATACTAAAAGTCATAAGTAAATTATTTCTAACTGAATCAAACATTTTTATATATGCATGATTAAAAAGTACAAAGTATGCAGAGGTACTTTAGCAATAAATGTATGGAAGAAATAATAAACAATGTCAAGATTCACAAGATTTTTTTCCTCAATAATAGAATAACTCAAAGCTTTTTTGGACTCAGATAAGTTAATTTTCCCATGGCAATAAGCATTACTTTTGTCATGTCAATACAGTAAAACTCTCAGATGCTTTCTTTTTCAGAGATCAGGACAAGTCATGTTATCATCTGATTTAAGCTGAAATTGCACTTAATGTTAAATATCATCCTCAAGTGTCAAAAGACTGAGCGTAACCAAATAGCCACATTAACAAAACAAAAAGCAGGATTCTTCTGATAAAAAGACAAAACTAGTAAAATCTCATGAGAAGAAAAGAGTCAACTCATAATCAAAATCATGTTAAAATTAATTGCTTCTCCAGCTTATTAATCTTTTATCATTCCCTATAAAATATTTGTCTAGTTGTTTATTTATCACTTTGTTCCCCCTCTCTTCTAAGGACGCTTGCTGTTCTTAACAGCAAGCTTTCTTCAAATACAAGTGTTGTAATCCTGACTGTTTCTAAGACTGACATAAAAGAATAAAAGCCCTCACATGTGAATGTTTCTAATCCTGAGTYGGGATTGTGATTAAAGAAATTTGTGCAGAAGTAATCACATCCTTCAGGGTCTCCTGTCCATGTTTATAGTGCAGATGTAGCATTTTTTTTAACAGGCTCTTCATTACAGCATGAATAGACTGTGTCCCCTCGGGGTAAATGATGTGTGATATCTTGATAATAGTTGGTGTGGAGAGCTACAAAGACACACACACACACACACACACACACACACACACACACAC